TCTCCGTGCAGAGCAGCTCTGTGATGCATTTGGCCAGGCTGTGTAAAATGTTCCATTTCCTGCCTCCTCCACAAAAGCATCAGCTGTGTCACATCCTCTGATGATAAGGTGGAGGCTTTATCTCCCTCTCTAGAGCGTGTTTTAGCCCAAGCTTTTATTTAGCTTGTGTAATCTCTGGTGTCAATCACCGTGTTGGTTTCCCTGCTTCTTGTGCCTTCTTCTGCTGCCAAACCACTCTCAGTGAGCGTTAGAGGAGATAAAAATCTCTCAGTATCCAGGGTAAAATGTTTCTTCATGGTGACCACGACCTGGGACAGAACCTGCCTGTGCTGGGCACTGTGATTTTAAGAAACGTGGTTGTAGCCATGCTGAGAACTGTGCTGGGCACCTGTGATTTTAAGAAACGTGGTTGTAGCCATGCTGAGAACTGTACTGGGCAGCTTTGTGCCCTCACAACCTCCTGGCCACCTGCTCTGTCCTCCTTGGCTCTGCAGAGCCCCAAGGAGAAAGGAGGGAGAGGTGCCCTGTTCCCCTGTGCCTTGGGCACGTGCTGTGCCCTGGAGCAGCTCTGCAATGTTCCCAGTGTAAACAGCTCTGCTTTCATAATGCACGGTTTGCTACTCACCTGAATTCATTCCATCCCTGCCATCCCCAGCCTGGAGAAAGTTCTTGCTTGTTAGTTTGTTTGCACAGTTTTTTTGATTTGATTTGTTCTTCCTGAGCCTGGAGACTTTCTCTTTTTCTGCCCAAATGCAAGTAAGATTATTATTATTATTTTTAATTATTTTTAAGAAAACTGTTTTATCCAAGCATTTTGTGAGTGGATAGTCCCCTGTGGATATGTAATAGTAATTGCAAAGCTTATTTTTTTCTGCTCCCAGTGGCTTTGATTGTGTGAAAATAAATGTTGAGTACTATGAAGTAATTACTCCTCAGCTCTCCTGGGAGCTGGGTAGGTAATTATTGCTATCTTTAGCTTACAGAGTGAGGTGAGCATCAGCAACTGGATAATTTGCCCTTGCTCCAGAGATCAAGGACAAGATTTTAGCCCACTTGTATCAGGTAGATCCTTTTAATTGAAATATCCCACTCCTGCTCTTCAGATATTTCATCTTCTGCACTGACATATCCACCTCACAGCTTTAGTCATTAAACAGGTGGAGATTTCCAGGAGAACTTCACTGGAAAACTTTTGGGGACAGCTGAGGACAGAAAGAGAAGAAAGTCTGAGCTTTCAGCCCTGCTGGGTTGTGGTCAACTCACTTCAGATTTTCCCTAGGGCCACTCTGGTGTTTCCACCCCACGCTGAATAAAATAGGGGGCTTTAAACCACAGGAAAGCTCCAATTGTTTGTGCTTCTTTTTGCAAATAATGAAGTCCTGTAGGTGGATGGAATGGTCCTGTTTGCAAAACACCACAGCCAGTGTTTGCCTGCCTCTAATCCCCAGTGCAAATAATGCACAGGAATTCATTTTGCAGCTTGTTGATGGGATGTGATGCTATTGCTGTGTTCAAATAAAGTCAGCCAGAGGAAAGCAGAACAGATGCATTGTGTTGGCTTTGGAGAGGAAGCTAAATGGGGAACAGGGCACAGAACAGCAAATCCAGCCTGCAGCAAACTGCTGCATGAATCAGCCCTCAAATATTGTCCTTCTAGACACCACTGCTGTTAGTCTTTGCATTTCTGATTGCCAGAGGCACACAGGGAAAAAAAAAAAAACCCCAAACCACCATGGGCAGGAAACAAAGTGGTTGCTTTTATTTACCTCTGCCATTAGTGTCCACCAAAATTTCTTAGATTTGAATGACATTTCCCCAAGCAACCCTCTGAGAGATAAGTCATTTTGTGAAGGATGCCACAGCAGAAATGTTAATTACCTTCGAGGGAGAGAGTTAAATAATGGTAATGAAGAAAGGCAGGCCCAGAGAAGATGCACCAGCCCAAGACAGTGATCACTGAGGTAACTGTTGATGTGAAGAGGAATTAGATCAAGACTTTCTCAAATTGTTCACAGATGAGATTAAGGAAAAAAAAAATCACTTTCTAGGCTGCAATATCAACTTATTAGCTGAGACCCTGTCCAACACCAAGCAGCTGTCACCTTCCAGCTTCCCCTCACAGCCCCAAGGAAAAAAAATCACTTTCTAGACTGCAATACCAACTTATTAGCTGAGACCCTGTCCAACAACAAGCAGATGTCACCTTCCAGCTTCCCCTCACAGCCCCAAAACTTAGGAAAAACTTTTGCAGGGAGGTGTTGGATGGACTCAGTGAGATGAGCACCAAGCTCCCACCAGCAGAGAGGAAATGGAAGCTGAACTGCAGCAGCTCAAAAGAGGGCCATGCTTTGGGGGAAATACATCTTGGAATGGGAATACCTGAGTAATTCAGCTGGGAGTTCTCCTGTTCCCACCCACCCAATGCAAAAATGAGGGTTTAAACCACGACCAGCATTAGGCCGTGCCGTAAACCTGACATCTTGAATTCTTCAGGCACCCATTTTTGTTTTAAAGAGGATACCAGGGATAAGAAGAGGGCAAAAAAAAAGATGCCAAAAGCACGGCACAAGCTCCAGAGAGTTTGGGACTTTTCAGTCTGCACTGACACAGAGCCTTTAGCCACATGGAGAAGGGAATGTGATTTCACTGACACAGTGAAAGATCTGGGGGCATGGGATGAAATGAGCAGGAGGTGGGCTCAAATCAAGCAAGCAGATTTCTCCCAGTGCTGTGGAGTTCACTTGTAAAAAATGATCAGATATTTTTTAGAGAGTTATCTGAATTTGGAGAAGAATTTATGAGAAGAACATGAGTTCTCCCTCTTTTATCTTGCACCTGGCCAGAGCAAGGCATGACAACAGGATGATGTCTGGAGGGAGGCAGAGGTCCCACAGCCTGATGTTGTTTCAGTGTGGAGGAGGACCAAAATATTTATTTTACCTGTTGTATTCACTGTAAATTCTCACTGAAAGTACCCTAGCCCCTCATTAATGCTCATTTGCATATTAACTTCCACACCCCTAAGGATGCAAATGAGGATACACCGTGCCTCACATGCAGACAACAAAACCCCACCTGTAACACATGATTGTTCCAACCCTTTGGCAAGGCCAAAAATTATAGTACAGGAGGAGTTTGGATAAAATTAAATATGAAGGAAAAAGGAAAAAAGGGAAGGGGAAAATAGCTCTGTTTGCTCAGGGCTGTGTCTCTCCTCCTTCACTGAATGTAACCAGATTTATGGTGTTGTAAATGAACTATTTGTGAATCTGTGGAAGCTCTTGTTGAACAGGACCAGACTTGAGAGCTGAATTGGTTTTAATCAAGAATTAAACCCAGCCCTTCTGATCCCTGAAGACCAGCAGCATCACAAGAGGGTTATTTCCTGCCAAAATTCCATACCCTCAACACAGCAAACCTGCTGGACCTCGATCCAGCACAGTCCACAGGGAAAAATGTGCTTCAGACTTTTCCTGTAAAATCCCAAATCCTCCAGATTTACTCTCTGCAAAGAACCCAAAAAGCAGCACCTGCCAATACCTCGCTCCCCTCCTCCTTCCCCCCAAAATTTATCCTTAACAGGCTATTTGAAAGCATTCGGGCTGCATTAATAAATGAAATAAGGAAACCCAAAGTGGCTGTAATTAGTGGGGGGATGCAGTGACCAGCTAATCAGCTCTGCCCCAGTTATTTTAGGATCCAAACTGAGCTTTATATAGCTTTATAAACATCTGTACAACTAATTGAGGTAATTAACATCTTGTCCCTCTTTTTATACTGGCAATTATAGGCCACCATCAGATCTATGATGAGAAACAAGGGAGAGGATGGGGATTTTTCATATCAAATGAAAAAAAAAAGGGGGGGGGAAATATTATTTTTCTTACTTTTGCCTTTATTTATAAGGTTTATTTGGCTTTCTACACTAAAGCAAGCTTAGACCTCAGGGTTGTCTTGAATTGAAAGGAGCATTGCCCTTAATATTAAATGAAATGCTGCCCAGTGTGCTGGAAAAGGGAAGGATCTCCACATTTTTATTAAAAAATGAAGGTCAGCCTGGTCTTGAGCTGTTCCTCTAATCTGAGGAATCCAGAAATTCCAAGTCAGTGACCTACAACATGGAATTCTTCTGCCTTTTTCTGGGGAAAATATACATACACATCACTGAACTGGGATTTTTGGCCCATTTAACCAGTTCTCACCAAGCAGTTATTTCAGAGGAAGCCAAATGCCTCAATCATTCATTCCTTTCCCTTTCCAGCAGTCCTGGGTCACATTCCCAGAAGGGGACAGGACAGGACAGGACAGGACAGGAAAGGAAAGGAAAGGAAAGGAAAGGAAAGGAAAGGAAAGGAAAGGAAAGGAAAGGAAAGGAAAGGAAAGGAAAAAGGGGAAAGGAAAAAGGGGAAAGGAAAAAGGGGAAAGGAAAAAGGGGAAAGGAAAAAGGGGAAAGGAAAAGGGGAAAGGAAAAGGGGAAAGGAAAAGGGGAAAGGAAAAGGAGTAAATGGGGGAAATAGAGAACAAGGAGGAAATAGAAAAGAAAGAGAAAAGACAGAAGGGGGAAAAGAAAAAGATAAAAAGGGAGACCAAGTAAAAAGGGAAGAGAGAGGAAAGGGGGAAATAGTGAAAAGGAAATGTGGGAAATCGGAGAGAAAGGGGGAAGAGATGAGGGAAAGGGAAAAAAGAAAAAATAGGAAATAAAAAGAAAAAAGAGAAAGGAAAAAGATAAAGGGGGGGAAGGAAGGAAGAGGGGAACGAGAAGGGGGAAATAGGAAAGAAAGGCGAAAGGAAGGGCAAGAAGGAAAAACGGGGGAAAGAAGAGGAAAAAAAGCAGGGAAGGGACATTTAATAAAGGTGAAGGAAAGCCGGGTGAGAAGGAAGGAGAAGGAAGGAGCCGGGGCTCGGGGCAGCGCCGCTGCCGCACCTGGGGCGGGCGGGGGCGGTGCCGGGGGCGGCGCGGGCTCGGAGCCGCTGCCTCCTCCTCCTCCTCCTCCAGCCGCTGCCGTGCCCGCTGGATGCGCCGGGAGCCGGAGCGGGGCTGCGGGGCCGGGGCAGGATGCGGGGCTCGGTGCTGCGCCGCGCCGTGCCGCTGCTCGGCTGCCTGCTGGCCGCGGTGAGTGAGCGGGCATTGCCGCACGCCTCGGGCAAACTTCGGGCAACTTCGGCACGGTCTGCTCCCTCCCCTGCCCGCCGGGAGTGCGGGGAATAGCGAGCGCTCGGTTCGGGTTTAGGGTCAGGTGCGCGTTCCCCTGGCGGGTGAGAGGATCCCTTTGAGCTGGAGGGATTCCCTGCGGGATTTTAGCGTTTTGTTCCGCAAGCGGCTCTGGGTTTCGCTGCCGTTCATGTTCGCTTTGGTTTCTGTTCGGGAGCTCGGTGAGTGCTCGCCGCGCACCTGGGGATAACGGGATGAGCTTTCCCCGAGGGGCTCTGGGATGAGCTCTCCCTGCAGCTGCCCAGCAGAAGTTGGGCAAAGCGCCGCTTTCCAGCGCTCCGGAGCCGGGGATGTGTCTGGGCTGCCGGGTCCCTGCCGGCTGTGATGTCCGTGCTGGCTCGGGGCAGGCTGAGCAAAGGGGGTTTGTTTCTCCTGGAGCTGTGTCAGCCCCGCACAGAGTCACACGTGCGAGCCCAGCTGATCCTCCGTGCCAGCGGGCACAGGACACGGCTTCTGCACGCTTCGCTGAGCTCCCTGCTCCAGGGAAAGGTGTCCCTGCCCGTGGCACGGGATGGAACCGGAGCATCTTTAAGGTCCTTTCCATCCCAGACCATTCAGGGAGTCTGCAATTCCCTGATTTTGCTTTGTTCTCACGGCTCGTTTCCTCACAGGGTTTGATTTAGAACGAGACTGGTTTTAATTTAGCAGCCTGGGGTTGGGGGGAGATTTGGTGCTGGCTGTGGCTGAGTTTCCCTCTCACTTGTAAGCTGCTCCCACAGCTGTTTTCTCTCGGGAAGGTGAGGCTGCCTCCCCAGCATCCCGTAGAGCTGGGTGAGGTTGCCCACCACAATTGGGTTGTACCATCCATTGCAAGTCACCTCTGTTTGATTTGCTGGGCTGGTGACAGTGCTTGTGGTCACAGAACCATCACGGAATTGTAGAATGGTTGGAAGTAAACAGCATCTGATTCCAAAGCCCTGTGGACAGGACAGCTTTCAGTAGACCAGTTGCTCAGAGCATCATCCAGCCTGGTCTTAAAGCAGAGTCAGACCAAGCAAGCTGAGCTTCAGAGAGAGTGGAAGTTAACCCAGATGTGTCAGTGCATCACTTGTCTCCCTTTCCTTCTCCCCTTTCTTCTCTCCTTGTCCCACAAGGAATGAAACAAATGGATTTAATTGTAATTTTTTTTTTGGCTGTCACCATGAGCCGCCCACCCAACTGCATCGCCAAAGACTTTCTTAGAGGATGAACAGGTTGGGAAAATGGATTAAAGTACAGAAAAAAAGGACAAAGCAATCAGTTCTTGGGATTCTACAGAGCTTGCTTTAGGGAAGATCCAAAATAGCCCAAGTGTCCAGGGCTGGAGCTGGGGAAAGGAGAAGGGGGCAGTGTTCTCATCAGCTGCTGGAGCTGCTCCAGCTCTTGCTTCCACTGAAGCCCTTGGCAAAATTCCCATTTCTTTAAAGATTGTTGGCATGAGGGGCTCCTGTGGGGCCGGATCTTGCAGAGGGTGAGGTCCCAGGGCTGCTGAAGCTCACTCTGCAAGGGGTGGCAGGATCAGGCTGTGGGTGATGCTCTTGGGCTGCCATCAATAAGCACAAACCCCTAGAGCTTTGGGGCAGCACAAGACCGGGTGCAATCTTGTAACTGCTTCCTTTCCAGCCCTTTTATTATTTTGTTGTTGTTGTTGTTAATGTTCCTGGGATCTGGTTCACGCTGGTGGGTTAAAAAGATTCACATGCTCCTTATCAGCACAGATCTGCAAGGTGACTAATACTGAACTGCCTCAGTGCTGGAGAAAATTCCTGGTTTGTTTCTCAGCTTAAACCTGGGATTTGGTGCTGATTTTTAAACAAAAGTAGCTCTGCAATCATAACCTGACTCTGGGACCTGTGATGGCTCAGCAGAGCTTGATTGGTTTGGGTTTGTTTCATATAATTTCTTGTGATAATTATATTTGTACGTCCTTGGGGGAAAAACTCTGAACAAGTGGCTGATCAACAAGTTCAGCACCATAAAACTCTTGCAGCCATGTGGTTTCTAATTGCTGTTATAAACTTTCATCTCTCATTGTGCACGCTGTGGAGAAGAGGAAATTGGGCAGATCCCATTTGCTGAGGTCATCAAGCCATGCTCACCAAAGTCCTGCCCTCCTGCCAGGATCAGCTTGGAAAAGTTGGAATAAAAGTGTTAATGGTGGTGTGGATGTGGTGTAAATGCACAATAATCCCTTTTAGGTTCTTCTGTGTTGCTTTTAGGAGTGTAATTAAGATAATTTGGCCTGAAGAGCTACAAATTAGACACTTTTATTTTTTTCCCAGCATGTGTCTAGAACATGAGATGTGGATAATTTGAAGCAGTTGGTGGATTCCACATGCCTTCAGACTTCAAGCTCCTTGAATTAGCCAGATCTGCCCAGCTGGTGTAATTTGTGCTTTTCTTCAGAGCATTGCTCTGTTCCAGCCTTGAAGCAGGTTTGTGATAGAAAAGAATAAAACAACTCAGATCTGATTCTTCATCAGTCCGAGTGCAAATGCTGGAGATGTGATCAGTGTGGAAAATCAGTGAAATCTGAGCTCCACAGAAATCATAACAACCACTTCAGCTGTGTCTGTGCCTCTTTCCTCCTGTTATTGATTGAGAATCTGTGAAGTGACATAAATATACTTTAAACACAACAACCACAAATGGTTTTGGCCAAAAGACAGGGTTCTCACTGGGATCCTCCAGGCCAGTTCCTGCACACAGCACAAAGATCCTTTAGCAATAACAACATGTGTTTAACAAAGGCCTTGCCACAAACCCTGAATGTATCACTGGGTGTATGATTTATTCAATTTTTGCTTGTATAAATGCATGACTGACTTTATTCAGGAGAACCAGTTGCCCAACCCTGTGTCTGGGTAGCTCTGAAAGCCTCTCTGCCTCTGTCTATAAAGTTTTCAGAGAGGACACACAATCAGCAAGAATAATATTGTGGGATATCTTACTGAGGGCATAAAAAGGCAAAATTGTAAAATAGGTGGGGGGAACAGTATCTGAGGGGGAAAAACGTGCTAGAGGAAATACTTAAAGCTGTTTCAAGCTGTGTTTTACTCGCCAGCAGACAGCAGGGGCATTCACAGCATCATTATCACACCCTCCCAGCCCAGGGGTTTGTCTCCAGCAGGAAACTCCGGACAACCAGCCAGGAATTGGGATGGGCTGCAACAGCAGCCGAGTCCACCAGGGTGGTACTTAAAAAGGGATTTTTACCAGACACTCAGCAGCAGGAGCCAGGTGGGACCATGGACAGGGAAAGCCACCCGGGCTGTGAATTTTGGGTGTGGAGGTGCATTTCCTCCGTTTTCATAACACTTTAAAAATCCTCTGGTTCCAACCCCTCGGTAAGAGGTGTGAGAGCCAGAGTGCTCACTCTCCAGGTGAGTTGCTTTTTATCCTTTGGTGGCTCCTGAGGCTGACAAAACATTTTGTTCTCGTTCTCAGTGTTTCACAGTGAATTTTTGAGTGGCTTTTTGTCTCTCACACTCAGCTTTCCAAGGAGGGATCAGGGCAGTTGGGGAATGCAGAACAGGGGGATGCAGAACAGGGGGATGCAGAACAGGGGGATGCAGAACAGGGGGATGCAGAACAGGGGGATGCAGAACAGGGGATGCAGAACAGGGGGATGCTCTGCACGTTTGGCAAATTGCAAGTGGAGACTGAGTGAGAGGTGGGACCATGTCAGGAGAGAGGTGTTTCAGCTGCGAGGCTGCCTTAGAAATGGCAAACATGCAGAGTTTATATTCATTTTCACTTTTTATCCTGTGGTGGCTCCTGAGGCTGACAAAACATTTTGTTCTCATTCTCAGTGTTTCACAGTGAATTTTTGAGTGGCTTTTTGCCTCTCACACTCGGCTTTCCAAGGAGGGATCGGGGCAGTTGGGGGATGCAGAACAGGGGGATGCAGAACAGGGGGATGCAGAACAGGGGGATGCAGAAGGGATCGGGGCAGTAGGGGGATGCAGAACAGGGGGATGCAGAACAGGGGGATGCAGAACAGGGGGATGCTCTGCACGTTTGGCAAATTGCAAGTGGAGACTGAGTGAGAGGTGGGACCATGTCAGGAGAGAGGTGTTTCAGCTGCGAGGCTGCCTTAGAAATGGCAAACATGCAGAGTTTATATTCATTTTCAGGGGGGAAAAAAGGAGAAAAAAAAAATAGAGAGGTTTTTGCCTTTACCAGATGGTCTCCAGCAGAAACAACTGGAGAGACTGGTGACTTGTCAAAACCAATCTTCCACATGATATGCTGATAGTCTGGGAGGACTGGGAATTTTCTGGTGTTTGGGCTAGAATGTAGACACAAATCTTTTGGAACAGAGGGAAGAGGGACAGGAGGGAGATCTCCCTGTTCAGCATCAAGTGTCCCATTTATTGGCAGCCTGGGGAAGGGCACCAGACACCGTGGAAAACGAGACCTGAGATTTTATGATCTTTTTTTAAGCCAGACCTGAGTGCACTTGGAGGAGATTTGTCACACCCTGAGTGGCTGAAATTCAGGAAAAGGCTGAGATTATCTGTGCAGAATAAAAAAATCTAAGTCAGGTTTTGGTGGGGAGCAGGATTCAGCTGGGCTTTAGGAACTCAGGAGGTCATGCCCTGCCCTCAGACCAGGTCAGCACCAGCGTGGCAGTGTCACTTCTGTGCTGCTGTCACTTCCCCTGCTGCATCACCCTGCCTCAGGGGACGTGGATTTGTGGTTTTCCAATGCCTGGGAAAGGCTGTGGGATTAAATATAGCCCCACTCCCTGCTTTCATCAGCTTTCTCTCTTCTGTGTTGGGAAGAAGAGGAAAGAGCTTTACGAGAATCAAAATCTAGGAATTGCAGCCAAGAAAAAATCCCAGGTCAGGGGACAAAAGGAGCTGGAGGTGACTGGAGAGCCCAGAGCAGGAGGGGCTGGAGCTGTGCCCAGCAGGATG